CAACTCCTCTAGAATATACTATCAACTTCTCGGGTCAATGTCCTTCAGGGGTCAATTTATGCGCTACAGAATACATATTTTGCAATTTTTCACACAAAAGTTAAAGTCTATCTTATCTTTATCAAAACAGGCATGCTTTTTCCTTGGCCCGATCCCTTACTCCATGTAAAATTTCACGATGTTCGATCCATAATTGCGGCCAGAGCGACCAGAAAATCAGACAAAAATAAAGTTTTTAGTCCATTTCATCCCTTAAATATTAACCGATCTTTATCAAAAGCAACAGGGGTATTTATTGGCCAGAACCCATTCGACATGCAAAATATCGTGAAGATTGGTCCATAACTGTGGCCTGTATTGTGTTTACAAATTATAATGGACAGACGGACGAACACACATGTCCAGATCGACTCAGCTAGTCGAGGTATGACGATCGGTATGCCTAAAGGTGGGTCTAGGACCAATATTTCGCGGCGTTACAAACTTTTGGGGCTGCACAAAGCTATAATACCCTGACAACATAGTTGTGTAGGGTACAAAAACACACCTATAGTTGGACCTTCAAAACAGCTACATGAAAAAATATTCTTAAAAATTCACACCTTGAGAAGCAACAAGAAAAACTATTTTTAAACCATTGAGCGGAGCAGTATAGTCGGACGGGGCCGACCATATGATACCCTACACAACTTCCACTTAAATAATACTACCTTGCTTCTATATTCTGAGCTTCGGCAATATTTCGCAACATTTGCACCCCCTTAATCGACTAGAGGTCAACAAATATAACTAATATTCAGTACAGCTCTTCTAATTACTTTTCCAGATTTCCTTCACCGTGGGTTGTGTTGTGATGTTCGGCTTTCAATTGTGACCTATAGATCGACTCGAAAAAATGCAAAAAATTAAGTTTTCTGTCCCCTTCATCCAAAAATTATTATCTGATCATCACCGAAAATTATAGGCATCGTCCTTGACCATACATATATCCACATGGAAAATTTCAAAGCGATCAGCGCTATATTTTCGCCCTTTAGTGTGGTAATGGTTTGCTAAATAATATCTGAAATGTAATTGGTATCAATTTAAAGGTCTACCACTCCTCTTGGATATACTGGATACACTATATATGCTATAGAATACAAATTTTCACACAAAAGTCAGCGTCCATTTGACCCGGTAAATATTGACTGATCTTTATCAAAACCGTCATGCTTCTTCTTTGGCCCGATCCCCTCCTCCATGCAAAAATTCCCGATGTTTGGGCCATAATTGCGGCCTGTGGAGCGACCAGAAAATCAGACAAAAATAAAATTTAAAGATCTTTACCAAAAACAACAGGGATCTTCATTGGCCAGAACCCAAAAACAATAGGGGTCTTCATTGGCCAGAACCCATCCTACATGCAAAATTTCGTGAGGATTGGTCCAAAACTGTGGCCTGTAGTTTGTTTACGAATTATAATCGACAGACGAACGGACGGACGGACACACATGCCTAGATCGATTCGAGATATGACGATCGGTATACTTAAAGCTGGGTCTAGGACCAATATTTCGCGGCGTTGCAAACTCTTGGGGCTGCACAAAGCAGCCCCAACAACATAGTTGTGTAGGGTATAAAAAACAAAAAAAAATTAGTTATCGTTCCACTTTATCTCAATATTGTTATCTGATCACCGAAAATTATAGGTGTCGTCCTTGATCATACCTGGGTCCTCATGGAAAAGTTCAAAGCGATCAACGCTATATTTCCGACACCATAGAATACAATTTTTGTAATTTTTCACACAAAAGCCAAGGTCCAATTGACCCGCTAAATCTCAATATCAAAACAGGCATGCACATTTTTTGGCTCAATCCCATTCTCCTTGTAAAATTTCACGATGTTCGGCCTATAATTGCGGCCTGTGGAGCGACCAGAAAATCAGACAAAAATAAAGTTTCATCCCCTCATATTAACCAAACTTTACCACAAACAATAGGGGTCTTCATTGACAAGAACCCATCCTACATGCAAAATTTCGTGAAGATTGGTCTATAACTGTGGCCTGTATAGTGTTTACAAATTACAATGGATAGACGGACGGACGGACACACATGTCTAGATCGACTCAGCTAGTCGAGGTATGACGATCGGTATGCCTAAAGGTGGGTCTAGGACCAATATTTCGCGACATTACAAACTCTTGGGGCTGCACAAATCAACATGAATTATATATGGAAGCTATACTATATTTAAATCTGACCGATTTCAAAGAAATTTGCCAGAGATTAATTTATATTATCTTTAGTACGTTAGTACGTGCCAATCAGACAAACTTTAGGTCTTTAGTGCACCATTTACTTACATTATCATAAAAGCGGACGAAAATATATATGGGAGATATATCTAAATCTAAACCAAATTTCGTGTATATCGAAAGATATTTAAGGACTTTGGTGCACCATTTACCTTAAATCGGAATATATATGGGAGCTATATCTAAATCTGAACCGTTTTTCACGAAACTTAGCACACATCATTATTGATTCAATTCAGTACGCTATGCAAAATTTCGTGCATATAGAGAGATATTTGGCTCTTTGGTGAACCATTTATATAAAATCGGACGAAAATATATATGGGAGCTATATCTAAATCCTATTTTCGCGAAACTTAGCACACATCATTCTAGATTCAAGTCAGTACGCTATGCCAAATTTCGTGAAAATCGAAGAACATAAAGGGAAAATATATATGGGAGCTGTATCTAAATCCGAACCGATTTTCAGGAAACTTAGCACACATCACTCCAGACTTACTTCAGTACACTATGCCAATTTTCGTGTATATCGAAGAATATAAATGAACTTTGGTGCACTATTTACCTAAAATCGGGCGAAAATATATATGGGAGCTATATCTAAATCTGGACCGATTTTCACGAAACTTAGCACACATCACTCCAGACATACTTCAGTACACTATGCCAATTTTCGTCTATATCGAAGAATATAAAAGAACTTTGGTGCACTATTTACCTAAAATCGGGCGAAAATATATATGGGAGCTATATCTAAATCTGAACCGACTTTCACGAATCTTAGCACACATCACTTCAGTTTTACTTCAGTATGCTATTCCAAATTTCGTACAAATCGTGCATTATATAGGGACTTTGGTGCACCATTTACATGAAATCGGACGAAAGTATATATGGGAGCTATATCTAAATCTGAACCGATTTTGGACCAAATAATTGAGTTGGGCCAAATTTCATGTAATTCGAATCAAAAATGCGACTGTACATTGTTTACACTTTAACATGGACAGACAGACGGACGGACGGACACGCATACATCGACTTAGAAAGTAATTTTATGCATATTCTCAAAAGGAACCATGTGTCTATCTCGTTTCCTTTTGCTTGTTACAAACATATGCATGCATGTGGTGAAGGGTATAAAAATGCACGACTTGAGAAGCTACTTCAAAAAAATACACGACAAGCGCAACTACTTGGAAACATATTTTTAAAAAATCCACGCTTATTTAGGCTACTTAAAAATAGTTTGAAAAATCATTGCCTAAAGAAAAAAATATTTAACGCGGCTGTTTTGAGCAACTTGAAAAATATTTTTAAAATACCAAACCACACAAATATTGTAACTGCAAATTCTTCTTTTTCCCCATTACTCTATCACAATCATAAAATCTAATTTCCCATCTCTGCCAACCATACAGTGTAGTGCACAGTCGGGTGAACCACCGCACGCGTGCACTCTCGCGAGAGTAAATATCACTATTCTCTCACACACATTCAACTGAACCAATTGAAAAACCATTGACACACACACAAAGACAAGTGCATGAGAACAGAATTTTTTACGCTCTGCCCGTGCCTGGTGTAGTGAGTAGTAATATTAGAAAACAAAAACAACAACATGCAATTCTTACCTTGAAGAACGGCTCATTTGTCATTTGTTTACTCTTCAAAGTTCACGAGAGCAATGGAGATCAAACGACGATGGCGGTGGCGTCGACTGCAACGACAACGATTGTTTAGACGACCGACCGAGGAGGACACGAAAAACGTAAACAATGGTAGCAACAACAAAACACATAGCCCCAATGATAATGGCATGGAGGCAAAATAACACAAAGAATAAACGAACAAAGAAGAAACACAAACGAATGGGCAACTTGCAAATATAAATAAAAACTACGCACAAATATAAATCAAGATGAAATTAACCGTTTTAAAAACATTTGGTGGATTCACTGAATTGTTTGAAAATAATTATAAAATATTTACAGATGATGGTTGCATTGAATTATTACAGAAATTAGAGAAAACACAACTCGCGAAACTCCCGACAAACTAACGACGCGCACCCGGCCTCAAAGAAACATGCACAACAACTGAAGAACTGAAGAGAATATTAATTGTAGAGTTGCCGTAGTCAATGTAATTAGATCATAAATGGGATGTATGTGGATGGACTTCTTCTTGTAATTTTTTTAATCCACGGCTGTTTGTAGTCCTCAAAAAAATATTTTTAAAAATTCCACGCCTTTAATGACGCCCTTAAAAAATATTTATATATATACATATATATTACAAAATATACATAAAAAATTCTAAAATATTCAAAAAAAAAAATATTTTAAAAAATTCCCTCCAAATTAGGTTACTTGAAAAATATTTTTTAAATATCTACTTGAAAAACATATTTAAAAAAATTCATGCAAGTAGATTTCCTCTTCCATGATTTTAAAATAAATATTTTTTATTTTATTTTCAATATTTCGACATTCAAATATTTGCAACAACGTCACATTTTATCTACATTTACCATTCACACACACAAATTTCCATTTCAATTCCCTCCAACCAAATCTCCAAGCAACCTTTCGCAGCCAATTTTCCCAAACACTTTGCACATCGAAAGAGATAAGCAGCAAACGACATTGTGGCTTGTTCGTTTGCTCATCCGTCCATTCATCCGTTCAGCCTTTCACTTTTTCGCATTGACCCCCACCGACATCAGTTGGGGCAATAACAATTTCAAAGCACCCGCGACAATAATGCAAATACCCGCAAATGCAAATGAAGCCGTATAATCACCGGTCAGATCGTTCAAGATACCACCGGCGGTTGTGCCAATAAAAACGCCCATACCCATGGCCAGGGCTGTCAGACCGAAGGCATTCGTTAATTTATCCAGGCCCAATGAACGGACATAGATAATGGCACGCAGCGTGGAATAGAAGGCTAAGAGGGGAACACGAAGGAAGGAATAGTAGAAGAAGAAAAATGGGAAGAGACAAAATAAACATGAAAATTACAAGAGTATCGAAAAATCCCCGAAATTGGGGTCAATGAAGGTAATGTTGAGCTGCTGCCGCTACAGCTGATGATGAATGATGGTGACCAGCACCACCACCATCTCTACCACCAAACCAGAGGAAATGGCCAAAACCATGAAATTAAATGGTAAACATATGTTTTGCGAATGTGATAGAGGGTTTTTGTAGGGACGTGAAGGCACACACACATTCAGATACATACATAAACAAATGTATGATTGCTGTATGAAGAGGATAATGTGAATGGTGTTTGAATATCTCGCTGTAATTGTTGCAAACAAGAACATTATTTTCAGGATAAAAAGCAAAAGGGGTTAAAGTCATTTAATTAAAAGCCCTAAAAAACATTTTTAAAAATCCATGCCTATTTGTAGGCCTTAAAAAATATTTAAAACCAGTAAGGAAAGTAGTAAAGTCGGACGGGGCCGACTATATGATACCCTTCACCACTTTGGGTATATTCAAGAGAAGAATCCTAACAGACGTCGCATGTTAAAAGGAACAGTAAACCGAAAGATATTAAGGGACTTTGTTGGACCATTCACCTTGAATTGGACGAAAATATATATGGGAGCAATATCTAAATCTGAACCGATTTTTACGAATCTCAACACTCATCGTTTTAGATTCCAAATTTCGTGTAAATCGCAAATATATAGCGTCTTTGGAGCCTCATTTACCTTAATTCGGACGAAAATATATATATGAGTGCTACATATAAATCTGACCCGAAATTTCGAAAGATATATAGGGACTTTGGTGTCCCATTTACCTTAAATCGGGCGAAAATATATGTAGGAGCTATATCTAAATCTGAAACGATTTCCTCGAAACTTAGCACACATCATTCTGAACCTAATTCAGAACTCTTGGTGCCCCATTTACCAGAAATCGGACGAAAATATATATGGGAATTATATCTAAATCTGACCCGATTTCCTCGAAACTTAACACACAACATTCTGGACCGAATTCAGTACCATATACCAAATTTTGTGCAAATCGAAAGATATATAGGGACATTGGTGCACCTTAAATCGTGCACCTTAAATCGGCCTTTCGTGCACCATTTACATAAAATCGGACAAACTTATATATGGACAAACTTATATCGGACAAATATTGTACAAAAATCCACGCTTATTGGCCTTAAGGAGCTTTGAAAAATATTCTTTCAAAGTCCACGTACTTCGAAAAATATTTTTTAAAGAATCCACGCTTATTGGTCTTAAGGTTCTTTGAAAAATATTCGTTAATAATCCACCCTTTTTGGTTTTCAGGTTCTTCGAAAAATGTTGTTTCGCAAAAGTTCAGTTAGAATTTTTTTTAATGTGCTCGCCCCTGGTTATGCTTTGAAAAATATTTGTATAAAATCCACGTTTGATGCAGCCTTTGCGACTTATTCCCCTTTGCTTTTCACTTTTGCTTTCACCTGTGTCCCGTCCACTCCGGAAAAAAAATATTACCAATGTAGGATAACGTGTCAGCGGTATATGGTAACCAAATACAAATACCAACAGAAAAACATCTGCATATGAGAACCTACCTAAAATGATATGACCACTCATTCACTCTCTCCCTCTCTCTCCATTCCCCATTACTTCTCACATGATGCTCGCCTATGTTGCTTCGTAAATAAACATAAAGAGGAATATAATTAAAATTGCACTCTCGTTTGCATAGTCTCATACATTTGTGGCAACATCATAGAGCAATGACGGGCGAAGCTGCATTGGCATCATTGTCGTCGTCGTCATCATCAACCGAACCAAACAACATACCAATAAACAAACAACCAGCAAACCAACATCAACAATGCAACCATATACGTACACAAAAACAACGACAACAACACAAACAACAACAGCAGCAGCAGCAGAAACGGACAAGATGAAGCAGCATAATTAATACTGTTTGCCTGCTGGTCATTCTCATTCAATGATGAGCATAATGTTGTTGTTTGTTGTGACTCATCATCATCAACAACGACATCATTGATGAGGCCACTACTGCAGTTGAGAGAACAAGGCGGTGGAGAAGAAGAAGAAGCAGCATCACTAGAGATGAGATGGTGTTGCTGATGCTTTGTTTTGAATATCAGTCATGATATGTTTTGTGTTGGGGAATATCAGAGGGGGTAAAAGGGATTTTATAGCGGATTATTACGGATTTTATAACGGATTATTAGAATTAGAAGAGAATAGGGGAGAGAAGGAAGCCACTACAAATAAAAGAGAACAAGGGACTCTCTCATAAATGTCTCTTAGATCAAAGATAGATATATTTTACAGAGAAGATAATTCAATTAATTAAAAAATCCACGCCATTGTTAAGACCTTGAAACCACGTCCTCTCTTCTTTGAGCGCCGAGTGTTGGACCCCCGCTAATAATCTCTTGTTTCCCTCTCTCTCCCCTAACGCCCTTGTTCTGCTTGGTGTTATATGGAGAGTCATAAAAACGTGCCTGATGAGCTGAGTGATAAATGTATGCAAAATAAAGTTTGTAAATGGTAATGTGTTTGTGTGTGTGTGTGTGCAGGTTTGTTTTCTTTCATTTCATACTTTGTTTGTGTCGATGCTGTTGTTGTTGATGTTTACATTGGTGCGTGCATAAGTGGACAGAGTTGGAAAATGGATGCATTTTTGCATCGCCATATTAACCACTCATAATATTTTGTTCTCATCCATTTTCCATTTTTTTTCTTTCTTTTTTGCTGCTTCTGCCAAAAACTCACCTGGGGCTATGCCATAACAGATGGCGTACACGAATTGAAACCACACCACATCGAGGCCATAGAAGGCACTGCAACAAACGGCCACTCCACCAAAGACCATGCCGCCGCCACAAATGTACGTCGTATAGTCACGATATTTGTATGCCACGAAACCAGATGCAATGCGAAAGGCGAAATTCGAGAAGCCAATGGAGGGTGAAATTAGCTTTGCAAAACTTGGCTCAATTTGGACACGCACTGCTCGATGTTAGGCATGGGCCTCCCAACACGGAGAATGAAAATTGCAAATGAAAATGCAAGCAAGGTGAACATCCGCAGCAGGTCAGAAAAAAAAAACAGAAGACAAAAAGAGAGGGTGAGAATGAGAATGTATGATAATAGACAGACACATAGAGAATGCATGATATAAAATGTAAACAAATGAAACACATAAACAAGACCTAACAATCAGGAGGGGTGTGCGAGTTAACCAGCATTGCATTCTAGCTGAAGTGCTAAAAGAGGGCACAGGTGTGCGTGTGTGAGTGAGTTTAAGTGCCAAGTGATTTTAAGAAAAGAATTCAACTTTCCGAGTAGGCTAACTTGTTATTGCAAGGATAATAGTCTTGTAATTAATGACCGGTTAAAGGCTTAAGGAGATAATGAAACCCTGCCAAGGTAATTATTGCTAAGTGGGGCTTTAGGAGGACAAGACGAAGAGCAGATACGAGCATTACGAAATTTAATGGTGATAAATATAAATTAAAAAATTGGAAACGTATTTTTAAAACCAATAAGGGTAGCAAGGAAAAGGGAATAAATCCGAATTTCGTGCAAATCGAAGGATATATAGGGACTTTGGTGCACTATTTATCTAAAATCGGATGAAAATATATATGGGAGATATATCTAAATCTGAAACGATTTTCACGAAATTTAACACACGTCGTTCTAGACTTTCTTCAGTACGCTGTGCCAATTTTCGTACAAATCGAAGGATATATAGGGACTTTGGTGCACCATTTACATAAAATCGGACGAAAATATATATGGGAGCCATATCTAAATCTGAACCGATTTTCACGAAATTTAATACATATGGTTCTAGACTTTATTCAGTATGCTGTGCCAAATTTCGTGCAAATTGAAGGATTTATAGGGACTTTGGTGCACCATTTACATAAAATCGGATGAAAATATATATGGGAGCCATATCTAAATATGAACCGATTTTCACGAAATTTAACAAACATCGTTCTAAACTTTATTCAGTACGCTGTGCCAAATTTCGTGCAAATCGAAATATATATAGGGACTTTGGTGAACCATTTTCATAAAATCGCACGAAAATATATATGGGAGATATATCTGAATCTGAACCGATTTCAGGAAACTTAACACACATCATTCTAGACCTTATTCTGTACGCTATGCGAAATTTCGTGCAAATCAGAAGATATATAGGGACTTTGGTACACCATTTACAATAAATCGGACGAAAATACATATGGGAGCCATATGTAAATCTGAACCGATTTCCACGAAATTTAACACACATCGTTGTAAACTTAATTCAGTACGCTGTGCCAAATTTCGTGTAAATCGAAGGATATATAGGGACTTTGGTGCACTATTTATCTAAAATCTGACGAAAATATATATGGGAGCTATATCTAAATCTTGAACGATTTTTTCCAAATTTTAAATGGGGTTCGTCCTTGGGCCAAATAAATGAACTGTGCCAAACTTCATCCAATTCGAATCAAAAATGCGACCTGTACATTGTTTACAATTTACCATGGATAGACAGACGGACGAACATGCATTCAGGTGACGGATATAAAAATCCACACCTATTGTAGGTCGACGAAAAAATATTAAAAAAAAAATCCATGCCAAAAAATCCTTGAACAAATATATTTAAAGAACTCGAATTTCTCGGACTACTCACCCGTCGAATAAACAAACGGAATATTGAAACCCATCGGAAACAGGAAAGCCGAAGCGAGCAATATACGAAATTCAAACATTTCCAAGAGGCGAAAATCAAACAGCAAACGAAAAGCATTCCGCAATTTTGGATGCAGTAAATTCGCTGGCTTCAGAAATTCCAATAGTGGATACTTTTTAATCTCCTTCAATTCCTTATACGATTTCCGATGATCCTGTAATTGCCGTTGTATTGCCATTGTCGACAATCGATGAACCACACGTTCCGTACTGATATTTTCATCAATATCATCCAAGGATATGGTACGCATATCTGTCTCACCAAATGTTACTGTTTTGCGGGGCCCATGGCTGGGACGTCCATGAGGACTCGGTTCACTTGGTCCCATATAAAAAAGATCCTGTTTTTCCATTGGATCTTGACGAATGATGTAGTGCTTCGAGATGGCAGCTTGGGCCTGGGCTTCACGTATTCTGGCGAGATAATTTTGAAAGCAGGGGCAACATTTTTGACAGCAGGTTTGTTGTTCCGTCAATGGGGCAGAAGGAGCTTCGACTTTTTCTAAAGGGGAGGAAGTAAATATCTTTTTTTTCAATTTTCAATTTGGGGCCTTGAGGTACTTACCCAGGACATTCTCAAAATCCTCATCCAGTTCATAGATATCTGTTTGCCTTTTCAGAGAGTAACGTGAGTATTTGGTCATCTCTGTGAGAAAATCGTGAGAATCGGTTTCCGTATCATCCCAGGACATCTAAGGAGTAAAATAAATTAATACACAAAATTAAAAGTTGGTGGGTTCCTCACCTCCTTAACCCTTCCAATTCTGGTGGGTGCTACCTCGACAAATGTCAAGCTCATTAGGAAAACCAACAACAAACATGCAATATGTAACCTCATGAGGTTACGCCAGCCCAGTGGTGCCACCAGCACATTATTCATATAGGCAAATATCATTATGCCAGCTCCGGCACCCGAACAGGATATGCCATTGGCAATTGGTCTATATTTCTCAAAATAATAGCCGATAATTAGCTGGGAGGAGACCCAGATCATGCTGAGGCCAGGACCGCCTAAATCGAAGAATGAAAGAAGCGAAGAGAAAGACAAAAATTCGTTGAAAAAATATTTTTAAAAAATGATGGCTTGTCAGTGTTCTTGAAAAATATTTTTTTAAACCCACGCCTTGCCTGAGTCCTTGAAAAATATTTTTAAAACCCACGCCTTGCCTGAGTCCTTGAAAAATATTTTTTTAAACCCACGCCTTGCCTGAGTCCTTGAAAAATATTTTTTAAAACCCACGCCTTGCCTGAGTCCTTGAAAAATATTTTTAAAACCCACGCCTTGCCTGAGTCCTTGAAAAATATTTTTTTAAACCCACTCCTTGCCTGAGGCCTTGAAAAATATTTTTTAAAACCCACGCCTTGCCTGAGTCCTTGAAAAATATTTTTAAAAATCCACGCCTTGTCTAAGTCCTTGAAAAAAATATTTTTAAAAATCCAAGCCTATTGTGGGTTCTTGTCGGAGTCCTTGTAAAAATATTTTTAAAAATTCAAGCCTATTGTTGGACCTTGTCTGAGTCTTTGAAAAAAACATTTTTTTAAAATCCTCGCCTATTTTAGGTCCTTGTCAGAGTCCTTGAAAAATATTTTTACAAATCCACGCCCATTGTAGGTCCTTTTCTGAGTCCTTGAAAAACAATTTTGTAATCCTCGCCTATTTTAGGTCCTTGTCAGAGTCCTCGAAAAATAGTTTTAAAAATCCACGACTTGTCTGAGTCCTTGAATTCATATGGGTCTCTTATACAAAACCAACTCACCCAAAATACTATAAAAAATTATCATCATTGGCAGATTTGTGGCAAAGGTGGCCACAGTCAGTACCGTAATGGAAAGAAGACACCCCGCCAGGGCTACCGGACGAAACCCGTATTTGTTGATAAAGGCACTTGAAATGGTGCCCGATAGGAAATAGAAACCTAAGAAATTAATTCAAAAAATTATTCCCCTCTCTCCAACCTCTCAGGACTTTTGCCACTCACCCACTTGCATTGAGGCTACCAATACCACTTTGGAACCTGGGATTTGAAACTCTTCCGCAATATGAGGCAATATCACACCAATACCAAATATGATGCCATCCACCACGATTTGACAACAAAAAGAAATAAACATGATGAACCAGCCATAGCCTCCATCGGGAGGTATGACCATGTAAACCTGGGACGATATCGGAAATTAAGCAGATTTCTACGAAATCTAGGGGAGAATCTTACGAAGACATTTCCCTTCTCCAAATTGGATTTTCCTAGGTTCCTACCATCATCATCATCATCCTCATCATCACTTGAATTAAATATTTTCCGCATATGCTGAGATTTACTCGACTTCAGGGTAAATTGGGGCCTTGACTGTCGACCATCATCATCATCACTGGAGCTTGAGGATCCCGAGGCGGCATAATGTAGCAAGGAATCTAAAAAAAATAAATTTACTTTTAAAATTAAAAAAATAATTTTTGGTAGAGATACCCTTCCTAGTCATAGCCCTCTCCTCGGCCACAATATCACTGGAATAATCCACATCGATGTCTGTGGTGGTTATGGAAATTGTCAAACTCGTAACTGTTGGGAAATCGGTTTCAGTGGCCACATTGCGCACATCACGTCTTCGACTAGCTTGGATATCGGTTAGGGTTGCTCGACTATCATCCGATAAAGTGGTGAAGGTGGAAGTTGATCCCAAAACATCTGAGAAGGATGTTTCGGTGGCCACATCACGAGTTCTAAAAACAAAAAATAAATCAATGTAATCAAAATTAAAAATATTGGAAAAAATGTTTAATCGTGCCTTTGACTTTCTTCAGGTTCCATATTTTTTATGAATGTTTATTTTGAAAAAATACAGAATGACATAAAAAAAATAATAAGAAAAGAAAAAAAAAAATAATTGACAATATTTTAGACATACCTAACTATAATTAGGTATGTACTAAAAACAACAAAAATAAAATTCGATCCTAGACGTTCAAAATATATTTTTTAAAAAAATCCACGCCTTTGTTAAGACCTTAAAAAAAAATATTTTTTTAAATACACCCTGTTGGAAATTCCTTAAAAAATATTTTTCAGAGATCCACGCCTATAGTAACTACTTAATTTTTTTTTTTAAACTTCGTGCCCAATAGTACATCAACATTTCATCTGAAAAAAAAACTTTACCAGTAATAAATTTCATTTAACTGCAAAGACCATTACCGGTTTGTCGAAAAACATAAAATCAATATGTTGTATCTGAATGCAGCAGACATTCTCCGGCGATGATGATGATGACGATGATTTTCTGTTCTTGGGAGACACCCCGAAATCCGGTTTAATAGATGTTCATCAAACCGGAAATGCATATGATACGAGTTGAAAAGTACTCAAATCCTCGTCCTATCCTCCCCCAAGAACTACAACAGCTTCTTTAGTCAGTTCAATACTTTATAATCGACAAGGAACATGGAGAAGAGGTACACCCTCCTTTCGTTACATGCATTCAACACACCTCTCATTCTCTCTCTCACACACCCAAAACATGCACATTCTACTGACATCCTTATGGCAGATTTCCTCAAAATATCATGTTCCTCAACGCATTTAAAATTGCATTGCATACTTTGGGGGGCAGCTCTCGCTGATGCATTTCTACGAACACGAACAAATGTCAGCGTGTGTAACATTGTTTTTTTTCTGTATTTATGTCTACATAAATGCATGTATGTTTTCTCTTCTGCTTCTACTTCTTGGACGTCTTCATGCATGCAGGCATGCATGCAGTAGACATGTTTGCATGCATGTCTACATGTTGCAGTTGTTTGTCGTTGTTGTTGAGTTGCTTCAGTTGCTATCTATGCCATTTTATTTCCATACATTTTCCTAATGAAGTGTATCAATGTGTACGTATGTTTGTAACTATGTGCATGTGTGTGTGTCAGCATCAGTATCATCTCTACATAACAGCGGAGTATTAGCTTAAGACTTGATTACTTGCATACCAATAAGATTTTGAGACTACACACTTCTTGCACATGTCGAACTGTTCGAAGGCACATATGCAGAGGTGCACACACACACAAAGGCATACGTTCAATATGTATCGGTGCATATGTTTGGATAAACGGATTTGTCCTTTAAAAGGGATGATATATTTTATGAAATAACATTAAAATATTGCAGCAGAGACTCTTAAACAAATATTTAATAAAAAAATCCACGTCATTGGAAACTACTTTAAAAAATAATTTTCCAAAATTCACACATGTGATAACTACTTGAAAAAATAATTTTAAAATAAAAAAAAATATTTTTAAACAAAAGTCACGCCTATGAAAGTTCCGAAAAATTATTTTTCAAAAATTCACACCTACGAAAGGTCCCTAAGAATATTTTTCACAAAATTCAGGCTCTTGAAATGTCCCTTGGTCCTTCGTCCTTTAAAAAAGTATTTTCAAAAAATCCACGCCTTCGAAATGCCCCTTGGTCTTTCGTCCTTTAAAAATATTTTTAAACAATCCACGCCTTTGAAATGTCACTTGGTCCTTCGTCCTTGAAAAAAATATTTTTAAAAATTCACGCCATTGAAATTTCACTTGGTCCTTCGTCCTTTAAAAATATATATATTTAAAAAATTCACGCCTTTGAAATGTCTATTGGTCCTTCGTCCTTTAAAAAAAAATATTTTTTAAAATATTCACACCTCTGAAATGTCACTTAGTCCTTCGTCCTTTAAAAAAATATTTTAAAAAAATCCACGCCTTTGCAATGTCCCTTGGTCCTTCGTCCTTTAAAAAAAATATTTTTAAAAAATCCATGCCTTTAAAATGTCCCTTGGACCTTCGTCCTTTAAAAAAATATTTAAAAAAAATTAAAAAACAATTGACCGGAGCAGTATAGTCAAACGGGGCCGACCATACGATACCCTACACAACTACTTTCGTCCTTTAAAATCCGTGCCTTTGAAATGTCCCTTGGTCCTTCGTCCTTAAAAAAAAAAAAATTAAAAAGGTTAAAAAAAACAGTGAGCGGTTCTATGTCCTACACAACTACTATAACTTTCTGCGGATGTTTATTCCGAGCCTGGACTATATTTCGTGATATGCAGCACCTCTTCCATACACTGACAGAATTTACGAATATTACTTATATTCAGTACAGTTCTTCTAATTACTCGTCAAAATCCCCTTAATCGTGAGTTGTGCTGTAATGTTCGGTTTATAATTGTGGCCTATAGGTAGACCCCTACAAAAATTAAGTTTTCGATCAATTTCATCCCAAAATTATTATCTGATCATAACCGAAAATTATAGGCGTCTTCCTTTACCAAACATGGAACCTCATGGATCATTTCAAAGCGAGCAGCGCTATCTTTCCGCTCTCCCGTGTGGTAATAGATTACTAAATAATATCTGATTACGTAAGCACCTGTACATATTTACGCGTAACTCCCACATCCCAGAACATACGACAATATAATTGGTATCAATTTAAAGGTCAACCACTCCGTTTGGATATACTATCAACCTATCTGGTATATGTCTTTCAGGGGTAAATCAATACCCTATAGAATACAAATTTGGTAATTTTTTACACAAAAGTCTGGGTCCATTTGACCCGCTAAGTATTGACCGATCTTGATCAAAACAGGCATGCTTATTCTTTGGTCCGATCCCCTTCTCCATGCAAAAATTCGCGATGTTTGGGCCATAGTTGCGGCCTCTGGAACGACCAGAAAAACCGACAAAAATAAAGTTTTTGGTCCATTTCATATTAATATTAACCGATCTTTAACAAAAACAATAGGGGTCTTCATTGGGCAGAACCCATCCTACATGCAAAATTTCGTGAAGATTTGTCCATAACTGTGGCCTGTATCGTGTTTACAAATTATAATGGACAGACGGACGGACACACACATGTCTAGATCGACTCAGCTAGTCGAGATATGACGATCGGTATACTTAAAGGTGGGTCTAGGACCAATATTTCACGGTGTTACAAACTCTTGGGGCTGCACAAAGCAATAATACCCTGACAACATAGTTGTGTAGGGTATAAAAATCCACGCCTCTAAAAGGCCCTTGAAAAAAAAATTTTAAAAAATCCACGCCTCTTGAAGACAATTGAAAATATATTTTTAAAAAATCCACGCCTCTTGAAAGGCCCTTGAAAAAATATTTTTAAAAACTCCACGCCTCTGAAAGGCCCATGAAAAATTACTTTTAAAAACTCCACGCCTCTGAAAGGCCCTTGAAAAAATATTTTTAAAAAATCCACACCTCAGGAAGGCCCTCGAAAAAATATTTTAAAAAAATCCACGCCTCTGAAAGGCCCTTGAAAAAATATTTTTAAAAAATCCACGCCACTCAAAGGCTCTTGAATTTTTTTTTTTAAATCCAAGCCTCTGAAAGGCCCTTGAAAAATTATTTTAAAAAAATCCACGCCTCTGAAAGGCTTTTGAAAAAATATTTTTAAAAAATCCACGCCTCTGAAAGGCCCTTGAAAAAATATTATAAAAAAACCACGCCTCTTAAAGGCCCTTGAAGAAATAGTTTAAAAAAAATCCACGCCTCTGAAAGGCCCTTGAAAAAATATTTTTTTAAAAAATCCACGCCTTTCAAAGGCCCTTGAAAAAATATTTTTAAAAAATCCACGCCTTTCAAAGGCCCTCCAAAAATATTTTTAAAAGATCCACACCTCAGGAAGGCCCTTGAAAAAATATTTTTAAAAAATCCACGCCACTCAAAGGCCCTTGAAAATTTTTTTTAAAATCCACGCCTCTGAAAGGCCCTTGAAAATGTTTTTTTTAAATCCACGCCTCTGAAAGGCCGTTGAAAAAATATTTTTAAAAAACCCACGCCTCTGAAAGGTCCTTGAAAAAATATTTTTAAAAAATCCACGCCTCTGAAAGGCCCTTGAAAAAAATATTTTTAAAAAATCCACAACTCTGAAAGGCCCTTGAAAAAATATTTTTAAAAAATCCACGCCTCTTGAAGACCCTTGAAAAGATAACACCTCGAATAAAAAGGTTTGACCCTTTGAAAAATATTTAGAAAAAAATCCACCTCTTGTCACCTTAAGGTAATAAAAAAAATATTTTTCTATCACCCCATTTTCTGTTCACCCTTTGTCCTGAGACATAAAACTTCAATATTACATGATTTACTATTACTGCTGTTGCTTGTATTACAACTACTTTGTAACTTTAGATCTGCTTCGTTGAAGTTTTTTTTTTCTTGATCTCATCCTCATCCTCTTTTTTTTTTTTTTTTTGTAGCACATCATCAGCAGCTAAATCTTCCCTTGGCAACCTTTTTCCTTAAACATTGTATGATGATAGGGTAATTTTTAAGTTTGTTTTTCCTAGGAATATTCGTTTTTCGGAATAGAGTTACAAATAATATTGATTGAAAGCTGAACGATGAAAAGAAAAAAAAACGAGCTAAGGAATTTTATTGAGAAAAAATAGCAAATTTTCTTTGGAAATTTGTTTAAAAATTTAATCAAGGATAATGGTAAGTGACTGTAAAGGACCTTAAAGGAATTTATTTACAAAACTTTGTAATTTTTGCTTTCTTATAAATAAAATAAAAACTTTAATTTAGTTCGAAGGCAAACCAAGAATTTTAAAGAAAAAATAAATTGTTTGGAAACTGGTACAGGCGTAGGCAGGTCTAGGACATAGATCGACGGCGGAGACATTCCCAACAAATTATGCACCAAGCCGTACAGATTCCTATTTTAGACCCCCACCTCTCTATTCTTCTAAGCCCCTGCCTAGCTCATTTCTTATTCTCCAGTGTGTGTTTGAATTTAGTTATAATAAAATTTTACTTCTTTATTCTAATCGTCTTCTTCGTAGGTCTTCCTAGTCATCTTCATCTTCTTCTCCTCGATTTTCTCTAGCCTTTTCATAATTGTATTTGTACAATAACTAATTCATGTTTGTTGTTGTTTTTGTTGTTACTATTATTATATTTTTATTGTGCCCAAGGACTCCTCACCTTTTGTGAGATTTATGGTTGGAAGCCAGCAAACCGAACGAACAAAACCCACACCCCCCATTGGACACTTGAATGAAAATGGTGATTCATGCATTCAAGATTTGCCTCTAATTCAGTAGCCACTACCACCAGCAGCAACAACAACAACACCTCAACACAAATCTTTAGTTGGGATTTTTTTTTTAAGAATTCATTTGAATTTCAATTGCCAGGGTTTTCTGTTGTTGTCGATGTTGGTCTACATGGAGAGGGTGGAAAATTGAAAGCAAATCATAAATAAATAAACAAAAATATTAAATTAAAAACTTAAATGAATTTATTTATATATGTGTGAGAGAGTGTGTGTGTGTGTATGTGTGCTTTGTAGGAAAATGCAATAAATATATATTTTTTAGGTTAGAGATAAGTAGAACAAAAATGAAATATGTTTTTTTTTTCAAGAAAAAATTTAAGAAATTCAGATTTGATACACTTGAGATAAATTTTGCAAAAACCAAAACGAAAGAAAATTAAATTCTTGGAATTGTTTTTTGCTTAAGAGTATTTTAAAAAGAGAGCTATTAGGAACATCATTCACATACATATTTTTTTTAATTGCAATTAAAGCAGCAAAAAAATAAATTAGAAAAAAAAAGAAATATTGGATTTTTATACCCTACACAACTATGTTGTCAGGGTATAATAGCTTTGTGCAGCCCCAAGAGTCTGTAACGCCGCGAAATATTGGTCCAAGACCCACTATTAAGTATACCCATCGTCTTATCTAGACTAGCTGAGTCGACCTAGGCATGTGTGTCCGTCCGTCTGTCCATCATAATTTGTAAACAGGATACAGGCCACAGTTATGGACCAGTCTTCACGAAATTTTGCATGTAGGATGGGTTCTGGCCAATGAAGCCCCCTATTGTAAAGATCGGTTGATATTTAATGGATGATATGGACCAAATATTTAATTTTTGTCGGTTTTTCTGGTCGCTCTAGAAGCATGATATTGTATCCAAGAGGAATGTTTGACCTTCAAAATGCCTCCAATTGCATTGTCGTACGTACTCGGACGTGGGAGTTACACACAACTGAATACTTACGTATTCAGAAATTATTTTTAACCCATTATCTCATTAGAGGTCGGAAACATAGCGATGATTCCTTTAAAATTTTCCATGAAGTTCCAAATATGGTCAAAGACAATGCCTATAATTTTCGATGATGATCTGATTAAAATTTTGGGATGAAGTGGACCGAAAACTTAATTTTTTGTGTGTTTTCTAGTCAAATATAGGCGAACATCACAACACAACCCACCGTGAAGGCAATCGGAATAAACATCCGAATATATGTTCTTGGTAGTATTTCAATGTGTTACAAACGGAATGACAACATTAATATATCCTCCATACTATGGTGGAGGGTATAAAAAAAAACAAATATTGGATTTAAAAAAAAATTACAAGCTCCTTTAACAGTCGTGGATTTTTATACCCTACACAACTATGCTGTCAGGGTATTATAGCTTTGTGCAGGCCCAAGAGTTTGTAAAGCCGCAAAATATTATCTAAGTATACCAATCGTCATATCTCGACTAGCTGAGTCGATATAGACATGTATGTCCGTCCGTCTGCCCGACTGTGCATCATAATTTGTAAACACGATACAGGCCACACAGTTATGGACCAATCTTCACGAAATTTTGCATGTAGGATGGGTTCTGGCCCATAAAGACCCCTATTGTTTTTAATATTTAGGGGATGAAATGGACCAAATACTGAATTTTGGTCGGTTTTTCTGGTGGCTCCAGAGGCCGCAATTATGGTCCAATCATCGCGAATTTTAGCTTGGAGAAAAATCGAAGAATAAGCATGCCTGTTTTGATAAAGAATGGTAAATATATACCGGGTCAAATGGACCCTGACTGTGAAAAATTACAAAATGTGTATTCTATGGCGTATATATAGACCCGAGAAGTTAAGGAGGAGTGGTTGACCTTTAAATTGATACCAATTATATGGTCGTATGTACGCAGATGTGGGAGTTACACTTAAATATTTATAGGTACTGAGATAGTATTTAATAACCCATTACCACACTAGAGGGCGGTTTTGGCAGTTGTTGCAAGGACAATGCCTACAATTTTCAGTGATGATCAGATAATAATTTTGGGATAAAGTGTACCAAAAACTTAATTGTTCTTTTTTCGTGTCGATCTATAGGCCACAATTGAAAGTCGAACATCACAACATAACTCACGGTGAAGGGAATCTTGTCAAGTAATTAGAAGAACTCTACTGAATATTAATAATATTTTGAATATATGGAAGTGTAAGGAAGAGGTGCTGTTGACCTCCAATCGGTCAAGAGGGTGCAAATATCCCGAAATATTGCCCAGGCTAGGAATAAATATCCACAGAAAGTTAAAGTTCCATGGTAGTTGTGTAGGGTCGGCCCGTCAATGGTTTAAAATATTTTTTTCAATTAGTTATCAAAGGTGTGGATTTTTTAAATATATTTTTGTAAGTAGATACCAAAGGCGTGGATTAAACAAAATAAGGATCTACAATAGGAATGACTGTAAAAAATCAATGACCTTGAACAAATGTTATTAAACATTACTTGTGCAAATATTTAATATCCTTCCCCCTGAAATATTACTGGGTTTTTTGTTTTTTGAAATGTCATCACTTTTTAATAAAATTCTCACAACAATCATTTTCCGAATACCTGTTTAAACAACAAATTCGATTTTTTCGATTTTTTTTTCGTCTATTTTCCAGCGATTATTATTCACGACATGTAAAATCACAACGAAATGTCAAATATTTTATTTTTTTTCATCTGATGTTTTGTTTTCGTTACTTTTTGTTACGTTCGGGAGAACTTAGATAGAATATAAAGTACCAGCAAAAAAGTGCTGAAAAATGAACAGCCAAAGAAAATTTTTGGGTGGAAAACATGACTACGTGAAAAACGTCAAAGCGTTACATCGCTGACAGCTTAGCGTAGTGAGAAAAATCTACTTCGTAAATCGTGAAAAAAAAAACTGAAGGTTACAGAGTTATTTTTCTTTACAGTTTTGAAGGCTAAAAAAATTTATTTGGATTTTTGTTTTAGTGTTAGGCGAATTTAAGGAACCTCCCATCGAGGGATGGAAGGATTTATGATTTCTTTTCTTCCAAGAAAAAATGCTATTGGTGTGTCTGCAGAATTTTAAGTTTTCGTTTTTTGAAAACATGACCAAAATAATAAAAAAAGAAAAACTATAAACCCGCAGAAAATGTGACGATGTACAAAAATGACTTTCTTTGTAAACATCTAAGGTAAGGTTAATATATTTTTTTCAGAAAATCTGGTGTTGAAAATTAAAATTCCTAGCCATGCTGTTCAACGAAAATACTTAACATACATTCACAAAACAAAAACTCCCCAAGAGAATGGATGATAACTTACCTGTGGAGATTTATTATCAACACTGGGCCTAAAAGTTTTTTTTTTTTGTTTTGGAAAACAAAACAAATTTCACCAAGCCTATGGTGGGGCCTTGAAACATTTATTTTAAATTCAATTCTATGATAGGACCCTGGGTTTTTAAAAAAATTAAGGACCTACACTACGCATGGATTTTTTAATGATTTTTTTTCAAGGCCCTACAGGAGCGTTGGATTTTTTTTTAAATATTTTTTCTTCAACCTACACTAGGTGTGGATTTTTTATATATATATATTTTTTAACTACTTTTTCATTAACCTACAATAGGCGTGGATTTTTTATATAATTTTTTCAAGTGCCAACAGCGGTAGATTTTTTAAAAATATTCTTTTTTTTTAAATATATTTCTTGTTCTATAACATTTTTTTCAAATAGTCTAAAAAGGCATGAATTGAAAAAAACATATTGGTTTCAAGGTCCTACAATAGACTTGGATTTTTCCTCAATTTTAAATAAAAACTGATAATTTCACAAAATTTAATATTTGTTTAATAATCTCTTAGAAAAACCAGCAAAATCATATTTCACAAAAATTTAATTTTTTTCCAAACAAAAAAATTATTTTGCGGTCTAGGCTGCTACCGCCAACGTCTCCTAGCTGACATTGCCATTTGCTCAGTTCGAAAATTCTCCATTCTCTGTTTTTGTGGTGCATTTTTACGTTTTAGACATCCCGGCGCACACAGCAGGACATTTTATTTAATTATCACAACAGGATGGCTACAACATAGGCATAGAAATGTGTGTGAGTGTGTGAGAGAGTGTGTTGGTGTGTGTGGCTGAAATTTCATCAATGCCAGACATAATTGAGCTGAAATTTTTCGAATTTATTTTTAGTGGCAATTGCGTTGTGGCAGTGTTTGGTGATGGCAACGGTGAAGCCGATGGTGGTGGTGGTGGTGCCAGGCAATTTAAAATGAGGTGCAAATGTTTTTGAATTGGTCATAAACACTGGGGCTAACACATTTTATGGCTAATAAACTCCAGGTTGTCGTGGTGAGTGGTTGCGGGGGTTGGAGGCAGAGATTTTAATAAACATGATTAGACGACATTGACGAATGAGATTTAAAAATGTCATAAGCACACACAGATGTTCAAAAATTATTTTTTGGAAATTACGTATATAACAAGGGTGAGGTTAATGAAGCTACATTTAAAAATCTACTTTTCAAAAATCCTCGCCTATGGAAGCTACTTTTAAAAAATCCACGCCTATGGAAGCTACTTTAAAAAAATCCACGCCTATGGAAGCTACTTTTAAAAAATCCACGCCTATGGATGCTACTTTAAAAAAATCCACTCCTATGGAAGCTACTTTTAAAAAATCTTCACCTATGAAAGCTACTTTTAAAAAATCCACGCCTATGGAAGCTACTTTAAAAATCCACGCTTATGAAAGCTACTTTTAAAAAATCCACGCCTATGGATGCTACTTTAAAAAAATCCACTCCTATGGAAGCTACTTTTAAAAAATCTTCACCTATGAAAGCTACTTTTAAAAAATCCACGCCTATGGAAGCTACTTTAAAAAAATCCACTCCTATGGAAGCTACTTTTAAAAAATCTTCACCTATGAAAGCTACTTTTAAAAAATCCACGCCTATGGAAGCTACTTTAAAAAAATCCACGCCTATGGAAGCTACTTTAAAAAAATCCACGCCTATGGAAGCTACTTTTAAAAAAATCTTCACCTATGAAAGCTACTTTTAAAAAATCGACGCCTATGGAAGCTACTTTTAAAAAATCCACGCCTATGGAAGCTACTTTTAAAAAATCCTCACCTATGAAAGCTACTTTTCCAAAAAATTTTAAAAAATC